ACTCAACGCTGCGTAGCTAGAAGCAGTGGATGTGTAGGCTGCTGTATCACGTGCCGTTTGAACTGACGCGCTACAGCGATCTGTCACATTTTAAAGAGCCAAAACGTTAATTATTGTGTGAATCTCGTAAAAATATTGACAGAATCTGACAGCTGTGGATTTGTTCCATATCAAAAGTAACCTTCTCTGTCTTGTCTGTCGGTGTCCTCTTTGTCCGTGATTTTTCTCTGCGTGAGAAAATGGATGTGTGGCGTGAGAGCGTGTGAAAAGGGTCAATGCGTGAGTCTCACGGTCAATACGTGAGAGTTGGCAGCTCTGCCTGCTAGTAATCTCTATTAATCTCCAGTATTATTACATTGTTTGATACAATATTGTTTTATTTGATATTATGTAAATGTGTAAAATGTAATGTAATTTATTTTATTTTATATTGGTTTTATTATTACCATATGTTACTTGTATTTATATTGTTTAAAGATTTAAGTTACTATTGTGTCCAGTTTGGCCCTGTAAATAAAAGGGTATTATTTTTTTATAAAGTGTGTGCGGTTTCGTTTTCTTAAGTACCGTTTCAAGAACCGTTTAAGCACCGGAACCGTTTTAAAAATACCGAGTAGGTACTGGTATCGGATAAAACCCAACCGATACCCAACCCTACTCTTGACCCTCACTTTATTAACTTTATATTTTGTCTGACTTCTGTACATGAGTCATAACAGCCAGATGATCAATTAGAAAAGTTGATCTGATGGTGTTGGTTGTGTTTTAACATAATCATTATATCACTATTATTTGACCTGAATCACTGAACTCGTATAGAACCCAATTTCTGAGTTAAGTTTACCTTATGGATTATAGCAGCACTGCCATTGTAGAGCATACCATTTTTAGCCTTTTAAATGGAATCCAAATGATAGAATCAATAAAAAAGAAACAAAAAAAAAACTTCTAAAAAATAAGAAAAATTTATGTAGGCACACACAGACATCAATAATCAGCCTGTGAATCTCAACAATGGTGACAATTATAAAGCATGTTGCAGTGCATTCTGGGTGCCACCAATCAAAACTCATTCATGGCTCCCATCATGCATTTCTGCATGAATAAATAACGAGCTTATGGTTAGAGGTGATCTGTTTGTCACCATTACTGAGATTGATACGCTAAATATTGATGTCTGTGTGTGCTTGCATACAACGGGTTTTTTTTTTTTTGTATAGATTTGATCATTTGGATTTCATTGAAAAGGTTAAAAATGGTATGCTCTATAATGGCAGTGCTGCTATAATCAATAAGGTAAACTTAACTCAGAATTTGGGTTCTATATGAGCTCAGGTAAAATGATTGTGAAATAATGATTATGTTAAAACACAACCAACACCATCAGTAGTGATGGCCAAATGAAGCGTTTCGAAGCATTATTGCTTTCTGATACAATTGTGTCGAAAATGGTTCATTACTCGAAGCTTCATTCAGATAGATCAGTGTTTCTCAACCTCTCCTGCAGGGACCCCCTGACAGGCCATGTTTCTGTTTTAACCCTGAAATGGCACACCTGATTCAAGTCATTAAAGGCTTAATGAGTAGTTGACTAATTGATTAATTGAACTATTCCTACTCTAATTACTCATTAAGCCTTTAATTACTTGAATCAGGTGTGCCATTTCAGAGTTAAAACAAAAACATGGCCTGTCAGGGGGTCCCTGCAGGAGAGGTTGAGAAACACTGAGATAGATATTGCAGCACCATCTCCTGGTGAAGTAAATGTAATGCAACAAAGCTGACAACCATAAAATGCCAGTAGGCTTATGTTAACGCCCCGTTTATGATGTGTTTACCGAGGCGATCAAAGCTGAAACAGTGTAGTGCTGTGAAACTCATTTATGTAGGTGAAGTTTCCAGACACTGATGAATTTCATGTGTTCACCTTGATAATAAAACATTAAGCATGATGTGTGTGTGTGTGTGTGTGTGTGTGTGTGTGTGTGTGTATGTGTGTAATTATTTCTTTGCCACTCTCCTCAACAATAAACTCAATCCACTCTCCTCAACAATAAACTCAATCCACTCTCCTCAACAATAACACCAATCCAAACACCGACTACTACAACCCACGGAGTTGCCATGGTTTGGCTTCACTTTTATAAGAAATACAGCCGCCAGGTTTCAAACCTGTAAACACTGGATTGGGCTGTCAAAGCAGTCAGGTGGTTCACTACAGGAGTGAAGCAGTGTGTTTGCTTCAGACGTCATTTTCACGTGACTAATGACGTAATGATACAAGCTCCGAAGCAGTGGTTCATTGCAAGGACCGTTCGAGTTTGAAACAAGCTTCGGAGCGTTGGTGTCAGACGTAACATCACTAACCATCAGAACACCTTTTTAATTTGTTCATCTGGCTGTTATAACTCATGTACAGCAACCATACAAAAATCTAAAGATAATGACGTGAGGGTCAAGAGCCCAACTAAAACACACACTGATCTCCATAATGGTGACTTTAAATTCTGTTTTTCTCATTCAGTGATTCTGCTTGTTATCATCAGGTGTCTTCAATAATGCACAATCATCACTCAATTATTCACTTAATTATCTCATTAACTTTAACACCGCTTAATTAGGTCGCTTAGAATTACTTAACTCCATTATGTTTAAGTTACATGAACACATTATGTTTGTTTAACGTAACCCAGTTATGTGGAACCTGTTTACATAAAAAAGTTAATTAATGCCAACATATCATTTTTTTGAGTGTAGGTAAAATGTTAGAAGTTCTTACCGATGAAAGGACCAGCACCAGGCTCCATTCTGCAGTCATCTGAGGACAGGCAAGCGGCTGAGGATTCTGATGCAACCTCAGTGATTCTGCTTGTTAACAGGCTTTATTAAGGCTGAAATTACTTCATATTAAATATACACAGATTTTGTGGCTCAGATAAGGTCCATTTCTGGTTTATTTCTTTGCTCTTGGCTGACACGTGGCATTGCTATGGCCTGCTTGTGGCCCAGATCTGGCAAACAGGAGTGGGCCACCCAAGGGCCGTCATTTCAAGCTGTATGTAGGCCAGATCCGCATTCCACAAGTGCCAGACTTGGGCTGGCTCTGGGCCGACACAATGTTGCTATGTGGGTATGCTTACAAAAAAGTATGACATTATGGATTGTTGTGTGTATTACACATATCTTAACAGTAGGCTTCAAAGAGATTGTGGAAGTCCTTTCTGCTTTTGGCTCCGATGTATGCGCTAAAATGTCACGTAAACTTTGAAGCCCACAAAATTCAACTAGGCAAAACCCTTTTAGAGGAGAGGCGCAGCAGAATGGAATGCCGATTGAGTTTCCATAAACCTTTAAGACTATATTTTCAGGGATCATTTCTATAGTTCTTTGCTTGGAAATGTGTTTGGAAAGTTTTTGTCTCCCAACCCACGATGAAGAGTAATGATGCTCCTTTCTGAGCGTGAACTGGTTGCAGAGCAGCGACTTTGGTTGTGAGCTCTGTGTCGTTGATGAACGTTCTGTATTGCTTTTTGCAATATTGAAGAAAGGAGTATGTTCTGAGTGGTGTTTGGCATTTAAGTCTCATTTTGGAATTTCTTTGTTTTTGTGTCTGTAGGTCCCATGCAGAAAACTTTGTTGAAAGATAGAACTGTTTGCAATGACGCAGGACTGTGTGTTGTGAAAGACAGCAGTTGCAAAAAATGGGTTTTATGGTAAAGAGTGCTCTGGATATGTGCTCAGTTTGAGGTCAGCCATTGCAAGTTTTCCAAGAACGCAATCAAAGTCAAGTGTCTGAAATGCCTACGTTAGCAAAAAATCTAAATCCTAAATCTTCGTTCGCGAAGCCAAGCCAAGAGAGATGAAGTTTCTGTGTAGCTTTTGTCGATGTTGAAGAAAGGGGTATATAATCTGAGCGTTGTTTGACATTTGTGCCTTTTGAGAAAGTGGATTGTTTTAGAAGCTTTTCTGGAATGCGTTGTGGCAATCCAATATTGGAAAGCGGAGCCCAGGACCAATGGAGCAGCTCCCGGCTAGGAAAAGACATCAATCATGAGCATTTTCACCAACTCACATTCCAAATTTGTAACCACCCACAGCTGTAGGCAATGATGGCCTAATGGAGGTCACCGTACAATTGGGAACTCTGCTACACTCAAGGCTAGATGGTTCTAAGTACAGATTCCTTCAGTATGAGGTGCTGAAGCACACGTTGGCCAAGAGAGAAACCGGCTGAAGAGTAAGAAGACAGAGACAGACTTGCAACATCATCTTTTTAATGATTTTGCCTTTCTACAGTTGTGTCTTCCCCCTTTAAGGTGGCCTAGCGTTGAAACAGATGTGGGGAACAAAGCCGCCACTGATACCACAGCCCGGAAGGAACCTAAGTTCCAGTTTACATTCCTATGTTTTTGGCTAAATAAAAGATCATTTCTGTGAACCCTGCTCCCGTCTCTCTTGTGGTTGTGTTTTGTGGCAGCTTAAACCTCTCCTCGTCTTGGGGCCCGTGTCACGGCATCCTTTGAATAAAGCGAACGTTGTCTCATCCGAGATACAATGCCGCATCACTGCAAAAACTTGAAATGTTTGCAGCGATGTGGTATTGCATCTAGGATAAGACAGCAAATACGAAAATCAGGTGCTGTTGAAAAAACGGGCCTGACACGGGTTCACTTCACATTTCGATGTCAGCCATAGCATGTTTTCTAAGTGCGCAACCGACGTCAGGTTGTTTCTGAAATGTCTACATAAAGAATTGTTAATGTGCCTGTGACTTTTCTTTTCAAAGATTTTCTACATTTAGCTTCAACAAATGTAAACTACAAAGCATAACACGGGCAGCTAAGTTTACAAAAAAGTATGACATTATGGATTGTTGTGTGTATTCCACATATCTTAACAGTAGTGTAACCGTTTCCCAAGGCCAAGTGTAACCCGGGTAACCCAGGCTACTAATAAAATAAAATAAAAGTAAAAAATAAGTAAGAAAGAAACAGAAAGAAATCACCGATTAAATGAGGTGATGGGCTCTTTAAGAGCTAGTAGCAGCAGTGAGCCAAGCCCCGCCTATCTGCTACTCGTGGAGCGAGTGAGATGAGGCAGCTACACGGAGTGATCTTCAAAACCCCTCCATGTAAGTGATTAATTCAGAGAAAAGTGATCGAATACAACAGAAAAAACAGGATTTCTGATCTGATGCTGTAATATGAAGGAGCTGATGCCAGAGTAAGAAGCGGATGAGACGGAGGCTTGTGAAACAGATCGATGCAGATACACGGAACATCAATGTGCCACAAATGAACTTCCTTGTTAAATATATAAATTCATCGCCTTGGTCAGTTAAAACTCAAACATTAACTTGACGTTTATGGAAAAAGTGTAGCGGATCTGATAGAGAAACAATACAGAGTGTTTATATAGGCTGTGCGAGCCGAAGTGGATAGCACATGCTAAAGCTGACGCACGTGTGAGAATGCTAATGAAGTATGCTGTTAAAGTGTTATGTTTAATGTGTTAATTGAAGTGCATGCATGTGATTTGACGATGAAATTGTTTGAATTGAAGATTAATTATTGTTCTGCCTTGTGTTTTACAAGGCTGTTTTTTTTTTGTGAGATTCAAGTTCTTCTGTGATGATTTCCCTGATTCGTGCTGGACGCACAAGGTGCAGATTGTATATGGCGAGCCACCCACGGAATCGTTTTCTCTGTTGAACTGTGTTTTTGAGCCATCAAACTGGTAGGAGAATTCTTTCTTTCACTTTTTGACAACCGGGACTCATTGAGATCATCATGTTTTTTCTATTTTTCCTTTTTGATTTCTCAACAAAAGACATCGATTGTGATCCTGAATCATTCTAAAAGAATCAACAGTTCTCTGAATTCAACGACTCGAGTTATGAACTCAGGTTAACTGAATTGATTTGTCAAATCTTGAGTCTCTGATTCACATTGGACAGACTATTAAGTTTTGAGGAGAAAGTGATTTGTTTGCAACTGAAAGCGAAAGTTCAGAATTTCATTCTGTGTATTGAATCAAACTGATTGTTTGTTTGATTATATTCTGAGGTAATTGAGCTATTGATTGCAATACTTTGTGTGAAAGCATTATCTATTGTTCTTTAATTTTGTTGTGTTGTAAGGAATCTGACACAGAGATTTATTTTAATTCTTTTATTATTCATAAGCATGTGAGAATCTGTTTCCAATAGAGTACTGTTCAAAACTGAGTCCACGTATCTGGAAAAAAAAACAAGAAGAGTTTGAATATTGTCATTTATTATATTTTAATTGTTCATCTTTGTGATTCACACATGAGTAAAAGTGTTCTCCTAATACAAGACCAAAAACTGAATCAGAAACAAGACTTTGTATTGATTGTTCACTCACCTGCTATGCTGTCTTCCTCTCTCCAGTAGACGCATCTTCCTTCTGATCAATTGGCCCATATTGAATGTTACGCTAGTATGACACACTAAACACGTGTTACACGCTACAACGGGATGCCTCCGGGTTCCTTTACTTCACTCCAGGGTGTCCCACATGGGCCTCCGACAAGGGGAACTCTGGCCAGAGGGAGGTCAAGAGGGTCTGTGATGGATGACAGCGGAAGGTAAGGAGCAGAGAATGGGTTTTTGGCTCGTAACGTTGGCACAGGCGTGCACTCTCTTTCCTTGCAGGGCAGCGGAGGCGGAACGCCGCCTCGGAGGACCAGATCTCTCCCGTCCACCGGAGGACAACAGGTGGGTGACAGTAGCAAGCAAATCCTCCTCCCGATTACGGGGCAGCGGTTAGCAAGCTTTCTCGGTTCCTCAAACAGTAGCATGATCGGACGCAGCAGTCAGCAGACCCTCCTTCAGAGCAATGGTTCACAGGATCTCTCGGCTCGTAGAACGGCGGCAGATCGGACACAGCCGTCAACAGACTCTCCTTCAGAATAATGGTTCACAGGATCTCCCAGCTCGTAGAACGGCAGCAGATCGGACACAGCAGTCAGCAGACTCTCCTTCAGAATAATGGTTCGCAGGGTCTCTCGGTTCATAGAACGGCAGCAGATCGGACGCAGCAGTCAGCAGACTCTCCTTCAGAATAATGGTTCACAGGATCTCTCAGTTCATAGAACGGCAGCAGATCGGACGCAGCAGTCAGCAGACTCTCCTTCAGAATTATGGTTCACAGGATCTCTCAGCTCGCAGAACGGCGGCAGATCGGACACAGCACTCAGCAGACTCTCCATCCGAACAATGTTTCACAGGATCTCCCAGCTCATAGAACGGCAGCAGATCGGATGCAGCAGTCAGCAGGTTCTAACATACACTTTCTGGTGCTACTTGGACACGTCATCAGTGATGAACCCGGGGTCAAAAGGTGTTTCGGGTCTTTAATCAACAGACACCCTCGCCCGGGCGACCCAGCCGGGGGTGATCAGTCCCCGGCCTGTGTCCAAGTGGCGTGCTACTCCACGGATCCCGCCTCCTGATTCACAGCCATCGTGAGGCTTTTTCGGCAGCCTCAGAGATGTTCTTTATGGCTCGCCTGCACAGATGTCCTTTAACTCCAAGGAGTTTGAGTGTTCGGGGTAACAACTTTCCTGCAAAGCCCCGGCAACCGACCTCCACTGGCTCACTGCGTGTTTTCCAGCCGCCGCTCCTGCACTCCTCCACCAGCTCTGCATATTTGGCTCTCTTGCGCTCATTTGCCTCCTCCAATCTGTCTTCCCAGGGGACAGTAAGCTCCACTATGACCACCTGCCTGGTCGACTCCGATGTAATCACCACGTCTGGGCGGAGTGAAGTGGCCGTGCTGTGATTCGGGAACTTGAGCTGCCTTCCAAGGTCCACTTGAAGGTGCCAGTCTCTTGCATTGGTGAGGAGCCCGCCTGGGGAGCATGGCTGCTGATGTGCCTTCTTCTCCCCAGCTCTGACAAAGGAGATGGTTTGCTTGGAGGGCTGCTGACTCTTACTGCTCTGAATTGCTGTGGTGATAGTATCTGCAAGAGCCCTGAGGACCTGGTCATGTCGCCAGCGATACCGCCCATCCCCCAAAGCCTTTGGACAGCAGCTAAGGATGTGCTCCAGAGTGCCACTCCTTTGGCACAGTTGGCATGTTGGTAAGTCTACCAGGCCCCAGCGGTGTAGGTTGGATGGGCTAGGTAGAAGATCGTACACCGAACGGATCTGGAACTTGATGCGCTGTGGTTCAGAGCTCCACAGCTCTGCCCAGGTGATCTTACGCTGCTCGCCGTTCTCCCACCTAGTCCAGGCGCCTTGCTGTTTCATACTGACCATCTTGGTCATACGGTCCTCCTCCACCTTTGCCCGTACCTCATCCAGCACCAACTGACGCTTCTCCCTCCCTCTTGATTTGTCATAGCGTGGCTTAGGGAAACTGCCCAGGCCTGCACGTCCCACTGCCACATTGCCAACCAAGACACCATGCCTCAGCCGAGCCTCCGCTCTGTCCACCGCTTCCTGTGCCTTCCACTTCCTTCCCGTCTTAACACAGATTCCAGCTGAGGAGACTTTGGCATCGGAGGAATCTCGGTACATCATGACCTCCCGGGCACGTATGACCTTGAATTCCTCAGACAAGCTGCTGATGGGAAGTTTCAGCTTGGTGAAATGACCATAGAGGGCGATGTTACTCAGGGACCGTAGGAGTCCCAACCACCTCCTGAGGAACTGACTGATGGTTCTCTCCAGTGCTTCTACCGTTGTCATGGGTACCTCGTATATGAGAAGGGGCCAGAGAAGCCTTGGCAGGATTCCGTGTTGATACATCCAGGTTTTGTACTTTCCTGGAAGCCCCGACTTGTCGACTGCCGTGAGCCAGTTCGTCATGTCGTTTCTGGTTTGTTGGAGCGCAGTTGTGTCCTTCAGGGCGCTGTCAAAGATCTTCCCCAAGCTCTTGACTGGTCTTTCTGTTACTGAAGGAATTTGTGTCCCCTCCAAAGTAAAGCGGAACCGATCGGCCACTTTGTCTTTCTTTAAAACCAGGGACCTGGACTTGCCTGGCTTAAAACTCATCCTTGCCCATAGGATGAGGCGTTGGAGCCCCTGAAGAAGCCATCTGCACCCGGGAACTGAAGCTGCTGTCACAGTAAGGTCATCCATGAAGGCTCTTATGGGTGGCTGCCGAGTACCAGATCTAGACATGGGGCCTCTACATTCCACCTCTGCTGATTTGACGATCATGTTCATGGCTAGAGCAAAGAGTGGTACGGAGATTGTACAGCCGGTGATAATACCCTTCTCTAGCCGTTGCCAGGCAGATGTTACCGTTCCTGATGAAACTCTCAATCTGAAACTGTTGTAGTAGTCCAGAATAAGGTTGCGGATCATCTCTGGCACATGATGTCTTGTCAGTGCTTCTTTGACCAGCTTGTGGGGAATAGACCCGTAGGCATTGGTAAGATCCAGCCAGAGTACGGCAAGGTCTCCTCTGTTCTCCTTTGCCTCCCGGATCAACTGGCTCACCACTCCTGTGTGCTCTAAGCATCCAGGTACTCCTGGGACTACCCCCTTTTGCACTGAGGTGTCTATATACCCGTTCTTCAAGAGAACGGGTATATAGACAGACTCTCCTTCAGAACAATGGTTCACAGGATCTCTCAGTTCATAGAACGGCAGCAGATCGAACGCAGCAGTCAGCAGACTCTCAGCACACAAGGCCGAGCTTCTCCTTTCTCCAATGTAGCATCAGGTGGTTGGGAACCTGGACACAATTCACACTTTCAGACACTGCAATGCCACATCACCTCCCGTGAACAACAGGCCTTCACTCCATCTTTGCAGGGTCAGACAATCCACAGATGGCTTTTCACACGGGGGTATCAGGTTTCAAGAGCGATCCTATAAAGCCCAGTTCTTTCCTTGGTCTCTGAGACTCACAATGAGAGAAACAACACACACTGCCAGCCAGCGCAAGTCAGTATTCAGAATGTTCTTGGTAAATCTTCACAACATCACCCTTTCGTACGTTGATGAAAAAGTGTACTTAACTTCTCTCCTTGATAACAGCATGGATCTTCAGCGCTGCACTTAATCACTCTGTTCTCTCAGTTCCATATGCCAGTCACTCACCCGTCTTCAATGTGTAAACATCCCCACACTTGTATTCGCTGCGGTTGCTGCTTTCTGCTGTCCACTGACAAGAACACCAAGGGGAACCCAACGTGAAAACACAAGCACCAAGAACCCACAACCTATGTTTAAGTTCAAGTTCCGTTTATTTATAGAGCACATTTACTACCGGCTGGCAACCGACCAAAGTGCTGTACAAAAATTGCAATAAAATACATAATAAAACAAACAGTGATCACTTAGGATCAGTGAGTACAAAATCCAATTACATATTAAAAGCTGAATCAAACAGATGAGTTTTCAGAGCAGATTTGTAGACCAGCAATAGAATTTTGTATTCAATTCTATACTGAACCGGTAACCAATGTAGGGATCTCAGAAGGGGTGTAACATGATCAAACTTTTTACATCCCTTCAGGAATCTCGCTGCTGCGTTTTGAACGACTTGAAGGCGTGAAATTTGAGTCTTAGCCACACCATAATATAGAGAGTTGCAGTAGTCCAGCCTCGATGTTATAAAGGCATGGACAGCAACCTCTAATGAGGCGTTCGAGAGAAAAGGTTTAATTTTAGAAAGAGAGCGTAAGTAGAAGAAGCTAGAGCCCACTACAGAGGCAATTTGCCTGTCAAATTTCAGACTATTGTCGATCATCACACCTAAATTACGCACTTGGGATGAGGTACTCAAATT